TTTGTTTTTCTTACTTTGTTGTGTCACAACTTTGTTCTTAATGACTGTTTCTTGGTGGGTGTTCCTCAGGGCTTCCTCCTACAATCATGTGAATTGATTTCCTGGTTAAAATCAAGAAACCTTGCCCCTGCTCTTTGCTCTTGTTTCTGCTCCAGGTTCCTCCCTCCTTATTGTCCCCTTTCCTTGGCTTAATTTGAATCCCAAACAGTTTGCAGTGGTTGCTTGCAGGAGGAGAATGGCACAGAAAATGTTTGCAGACCACACAACTCAGGAATGACTGAGGTTTCAAGCTTTTCTTGCTCTAGTATCAGACTCTCTGCATGTGGTTTATGGGAGGATCCCAGCCGCATCTGAGACCAACAACTGGAGAGCTCTATGAGAACGGCTTGAAATTCAGTTTGTTTTCTGGGAGTTGTGATGTATATCTCTTAGCCAAACTATAGCCGCTTTCCAAAATTTTAAAGCCAGAGACTTCTCTTCTCTGGCACATGGTGTGGGTGGGTGGGTGAGGGGTGGATTTTAATAAACAAAGTACTTGCCTCTAAAAGTTCTTCCTTTTTTCTTTTTTTTTTATCTGAGCCACGCTGCCACCTGTTGGCAGCTCAACCGTAGCTCAGCTCGGGCTGGGAATCGAACTGCTGTTGCTCAGAGCTCAAACTCTTGAGTGAGCTCTTAACCAACTGAGCCGCTCAACTGGCCCTAAAAGTTCTTTTTTAAATGACTTTTTGCACTGTAAACAGTGTGTACCATGGAGCATTTTCTTTCCAGCCCTCTTTTAGGTGGTTAAATTGGGAATTGGTTAAATCTTGGTGAAAATTATTTTAAAAGCAGATCCTGGGAAACAATGGATAACTTATTTAGAAATATCCATAGACAGTCACTCTCACAGCAACCATAAATCCTTTAGCCCAAAGAAAAGATGGTTGGGAGCAAAGCCTTCCTGTGGTGTTCACCTTCCCTTTGGGTTTGGGAGTCATGAGGAGCTGACGTGGCCCTTGGCCAAGGACTGGAACAAGGTTCTGCCCAGCAACTCCTCTGTTATGCTGCCTGGTTGTCTGACTCTGCCTTGGACAAGATCTCCAACAGCTCGTAGAGAGCTCTGTGGCTCTTCCTTACAGCTCTGCTGCTGAGTGAGTCAGAACTGCTTTTGAAAGTGAGAAAGCATTGAACTAAACTTGAGCACTCCTGTTGCACGGTTGTTAGGCAGGAGTTCCTTGTTTGTCTGGTGTGGTCAGAGCTCTGGGTCACATGAGCATGTTTGGTCCACATGACAGCCCAGTGGAGCCAGGAGGGCAAGAGGTGACACCGCTCAATTATTTATTATTTGACATAATCTTTTTTTTCCAAAAAAATTACATGCTTTACTTGCACAAGGTAAAAAAATTTTCAGACACTACTAAGGAGTACACAGTAAAAGCAAATCTCTGTCTCACCCACAGCCACTCGATCCCCCTTCCAAAGGCTGCCCCTGTGTTTGCTTTCTTGTATTTCCTTCCAGAGAGAATCTGTGCATATAGGAACATAGGTGTCTGTCCATTCGTCTTTGTTTTTACTCACCTGGTAGCACTCTCTACAACCATTGAACATCTTGCTTTTCCACTTAACTTTTATTTCCTCTCTCATTGTTTTTGATGTTGTATAGCATTCCATTGTGTGGATGTGCCATAGTGTTTTTATATTGTTTTTTGTCCTTTTTTATTACAAACAAGATGGCAGTGTATCTTTGTGTACTTTATGAGTATATGTATAAGATAATTACTTAGAAATGGAATGTGTGCCTAAGGGTATATGTGTTCTAAAGCTTGGTAGACATTGCCAAATTGCCTTCCAGCTAACTTTTTTGAAAGATGAGTAAAGGAGAGACCCAAAGAGATGGCTCTGTTGATTTGCGGCCCTCTCCCGGGTTCTTCAATCTGTCAGCGGCCGTACAGGAACCAGAACCAGCCTCTGTCTGTGGGCCAACCCTTGTCTCTGGCTCCAACTGCCTCTCCCTGTTGGTGGCTCAGGTCCCTGTGCCCTCCATGCCCCTATTGAGCCCTGTCACCTCTCCTCTGACCTCATCACGTTACCCTCCCAGTTCTGTGGCCTCTCCACAAATCCTCTTCAGTAATTGAGTTGATCCTTTCCCGAAATCCTCAACCGTCTTGCGGGAATCCAGGGATAACTACAAGCCTCTCCAGGGCTGGTACTTTTCACCTCAGTCTGGTTCTTTTGACAACACCGTGCATGAATCTCAGAAACACATTCCTAAATACTTTTTTGGTAAGAGCTGAGGTGGGCAAGAGGGAAGTGTGGATCAGTCATGCAACTATTCTATAGTTCATAATGATAATTTGAAATGTTAAGATTTCTTTCATTTAAGTTAAGCATATAAACTAAGGTAGCCTAACATTATTTTGAAAATGCTATTTTAGGCTTTAACAAGTCTATATTAACATGAACAGGTTATTGTCATCCTGGCAATGGCCTTCACCTTGTTGGGACAAAGGAGGGCTGGCATAGCCCTTCCAGCCTGCCTCAGAGGCCAGGTGGATCCTTAGCTTACCAAGGAAGCAGCTACCTTTTGCTCTAACACTCCAGGGGGCCTCTTCCCTCTTGTCTTCCTTCTGTCTCGGCTAGCTTAACTCTGTGGTTTGTTCTGTGGCAGCAGAAGGTACACGAAGAATCTTTTATGAGGGCCCACATATCCCTCAGCACACTGATGATTCTGCTGAGGGCATTGGGTAGGCAGGGGAGAGCTTGTGGGCTTGACCTCCACCCCCCTACCAACTTCTCCCAAAGCACTGGGCTGCTGCTGTGGTGTCACCTTCCCCCAGGCCCTATCTCCTCTTGCTCATGCCCACCTCCCCACTGTGACTAGAAAGCTTTCCAAAACCCCCATCACCTTTCTATCACTCACCTGCTTTAAACTTCCTGTGACTCCCTGTGGCTTCTTCACCTGGCTCCCTAGGCCCCCTATGATCTAACTCCACAGCCCCACCGGGCTCATCTGTCTCTCTCTGCACCCTGCCTCCCCCAATCCCAAACCCCATTCATGCTGTGTTCTGTCACACTAAATGGTTGGCCCTTTCAAGGCTACCAAAATACCCATTCACCCACTACCCTGATGTCTGTCTGCATCTGTCTGGGCCCTCAGAAAGTAAGACCCTGAGAGCAGGAGCCTGGTCTCATCTGTGTTTACATCCTCAGTGCATGCAAAGGGTTGGGTCCAATAAGCGCTGACTGGGCCAAGGTGTGAGTGCAAAAGCTGGCCATGTTGTCCAGGAGCAGAGCCACATATCTTTTTTTTTTTTTTTTTTTTTTTTACCCATCCCCCGAGCCACATATCTTTTAATCTGTTCTCCTAGAGAAGTGCTGAGAGGGGAGGGATGGCAGAGAAGTCCCTGGGTCTGGTGACAGTGCTTGATCCCATCTGTGCTTGAGGCCCCATCTGGGATTCTTTTTGACCTCCCAGTCCTTTTAATCAAAATCTTTTGGGCTAAAAGAATTTGTGATCAGCAACTCTGCAAGGGAAAATGTCATCAGTTAAGAGTTGGCTGATCCAGGCTTTGGGGCAGGTGGCACGCCTCCTGACTCGCTTGGGTATCTACTCTAGAGTGCTGTCACTGCTGCAGGGGACTTAGATCTAACAGCACCATTCCCTCATCCACGATCTCATACAGTGGTACCCCTCTGAGCCAAGGGTACCCTGGTTTGGAGTCAGAGCCACCCCAAGTCTGTTTGTGTAGGCTTCTAGCTTCAGATGGTGACTCCTCCCACCTCAGATATCTGGGCTGCAGCAGCACTGGGGGTGCCCATGGCCACTGCTAGCCCACTCTGGACAGTGGGGACATGTCAGCCATGTACCTCTGCTGCTTTCTTTAGAAACTCCCTCAAGGTGTAGGGCTGTTAAGGTGTGAGGATGGCAAATGGAAAGCCAGAACTTAGGGATCCCAATTCAATTCAAAGTCGTTGCCCTAGTGATGATGTCACTGGAGAAGGGATGTGCAAACCACAGGGATTTGCCCCCTTCCCTGAGCAGAACCACCCAGCTCAACTGTATTCACAGGGCTTGACCCGATGACCTTTGACTGTTTCCAAAAGTCAAAGACAAAGATTTGCTACTTCTGGGGACATTCAAAATAAAGTGATGCCAGCTTCTTGGTCACCTTTGTCACCTTTGATCAAAGGTAAGAAGGTTAGAATGGTGATCAAGTGGCCCAGCTCTTATAACAATGCATTCCTTGGGACCACTGATGTAAGAAAGCAACTTCAACCAACCAACTTTGGACATAAACCTCATAGAATATCAGATGCTGTAGCCTCAGTATGGAGATGTGAGGACAACCCAGAGAGCTATTTTAAGGGTAATTATGATGTCTATTATTTAGGGAGCATTTATGTGTCAAGGCTTTACCTACAGGGTCGCCGATGTATATACAGCCCTAAATAGGCACCCCTACCCCTGTTTTTTAGATGAAGAAACTCGGGCCACTCAGCTAGTAAGTGCAGAGCCAGGACTTGAACCTATATCTGTGTCCTCCAAAGCTGGGGCTCTTTTTTCACCTTTCACTGCTTCTTATTGAAGACAAAGCAAATGACCACCAAAGTATTCCAAGTGAGTCCCTGGGAGAAAACTAAGGTCACTTCATTGAGCTTTGAGATGAGGCTACTCTGAGGTGATTTCAGATATGCCAGGCTTGGCTACAGGAGGCTCTGAGCCTTGGGCTGGATGAAGGGCAGAGTGGCTAAGTGCACATGTCCAGCAGTCAGGTAATAGCCCGTGGGCAGGGGAGGTATCGGTGCATGGTGCCTGTGCGGATTGAAGACAGGGCAGAGTGGGCCAGATGGCTCCAGGTGGACCAGGATTCCACGCCATTGACCATGTCCACATTTCCTTTTATTTCAGATGTTTTCAAGTCAGCAAACATTTACTGAGCACCTACTATATACAAGGTATGTTTTGGGTACTTGGGGGAACGGATGTGGGGAACAGGATTGACTGAATCACAGCATATTTGTTGCCCTTAAGGGAAGCTGGCATAACAGGGGGCAGACACTGGGATGGCAGAAATGTTCCAAATGGCAAAGTGCCTTGCCCAGTAAAGACTGAACGTGAGGGCCCCAACTCCACGTGGGGTACCCCTGGATGAGGAGATGCTTGCAGTGGGCTCTGAAGGTCAAGTCACATTTTGTTGGGCTGAGAAGTGAGGAAGGCATTCCAGGCAGATGTCCCAAGGCGGGTCTCCCATACGCTTTGGCTTAGTCAGACTCCCTGGCCCATGGGCATGGGCTCCTGATAGGAGAGTCCAGCTGCCAGGGTTTTGTCCCCAGCTCCTGGCCTTCCCACCAAGAGCTCCAGGTTGGCCTGTCTCCCCAAGTATGGTACTGCCTGCCCAGGCCGTAGTCTCACCACAGGCCCAGAAGATGCTGGGAGTGGGGCTCTTCTTCCTGTAATGTCTCCCTGTATGTAACTTGGGCCACTGGGCCAGCTCTTGGGCTTAAGAATGGCGGAGGTAGGGGACTGCTGCCATCTGGTGGTTGACTCTGGCTCCCTCAAGTCAGTCAGAGAGCATCAGCCCACCTTTTTGTTCTCAGTGCACCAGACCCAGATTTTACTTCGAGAAACACAGTCATTTCTGCTGCTGGAGGGAACCAAAGAGGCATGCATCCTCCCCTCTTCTTGTGTGCTGGCCCCTCCCCAGCAAAGAAGCCTCAGGCAGCCCTTCTGAGTTATAGGGGAGACTATTCACAGTCCCCCCAGCCTTAAAGGGATTCCATGCTTGCTGAGGGGCAGAGGCCAGATCACCGTTCCGGGCAACCCCACTCTCTGTTTCCCTTAGCAAATATAAGGGGTCCTCTCTGACACTTGCATTTGGGCCGCAGGACAGAGGTGACTAATCCCAACAGAATCAGCATGTGTTCTCATCACTCTGGCCCCAACCTTATATTGTTACCAGATGAGAACATGTCTTATTGGGTTTAATTTTGATGGCTGTGGAGACAGAACACTTTGAGTAACAAGCAGTCACTCTGTGTCCTGAATAAACCCTGGGCCCTCCTACCTTGTACTGGCTAGAGCTGGCTCTGGGGATTTGAGACTAGCACTCCATTACCATTCTCTCCCACTGCCCAACTTCATCATGCTAGGGCCCCGGGTTCCCCTGCAGAGTAGCTGGGAGGTGGCTTCATGTCCCAGCCTGCTTCTCCCCTGCTGAAACCTGGCTGCAGGCATGGGTTCTGGGCTCCAGCCTGGGCCTCCTCAGTCTAATGCTTTCTCTACTCTTTGTCCCTCTGGAGATGAACATCTGCAACAAGCCCTCCAACAAGACAGCCCCTGAGAAGAATGTGTGGACAGCACCCACGCAGGCCAGCGGACCCTCCCCAGAGTTGCAGGGCCAGCGGTCTCGCCGGAATGGGTGGAGCTGGCCCCCTCACCCGCTCCAGATTGTGGCCTGGCTGCTGTACCTCTTCTTTGCTGTGATTGGCTTTGGGGTCCTTGTTCCCCTCCTGCCTCACCACTGGGTGCCTGCTGGCTATGCTGTATCCTTGGGAAAGTGTGGGGCTGGTGCATGGAATTGTGGGGGCAATGGATGAAAGACATGGCAGGGCCTGAAGCTGGGCTCCAGAGCCTCAGAGAGCACAGGCAGGCCCTGTCTCTTCTTTGGGGGGCCAGCTGCTTACCTGCCTGGCCTCAACCCCCATTCGACCCCTCCACCTGATGGGGTGAGCTGACAGGCCTAAAGTACCTTGGAGCATTAAAAACCCCACACAGATGGGAACCTCATTAACTGAGGTACCACAGGAGTGATTACAGAGGACAGCCTAGAAGCTCTCTTTAAGCTAATTGTGTCCAGAACTCAACAGGGGATAAGTTAGAGAGTAATTATTCCATTTATGAAAGAATTTTTCACTTTTCAAAAAGAGTCATGGTAGAATTCTTTTACATAGCAAGTTTCCTGGTACATTTAAAATGTGTTTTTATTTGTGGACAGATTATTATGCTGTAACCAGGATTGTTTAGGAGCGCATTGATTTTGTACATCAGGCCCTCTTAGCATGAGGTTGAATTGACTAGAGGAGTTATAAAGATGTCCTGGAGGCTCCTGGGAACAGTGACAAACTCGAACTTGCATGAGCCTAGTGGTGTGACTGCCCCAGCCCTGGTCACAATCCCCAGGAGCAGAGGATGTGGCTGCAAGGCTGGGAGATTGGAGTATAGCAGGTAGCCATGTGCTCCTGTCCAGAGGGTGCCCATGTGAGTGTGCCATGGCATGTATGCTTCATGGAGATAAATCTTTGGGCCCCTTGGGGAGGAGGGCTAGTGTGAGCTGAAGGAGGCTAGCAAGGATGAACTTGAATGCCTCGGACATAGAGTTAGCAGCGGAGTGTAGTCTCAGCTCAGCCCTTTTAGGGCTGTATAAGGCTGAGCAACTTCTGCCAGCTCTCTGGGTCTCAGCCTCCTCCTCTGTGTGACAGGAAGAGCCCTGTCTGCTTCCCAGGATGGGGACCCAGAGCACGCAAGAATGTGTGTCGTGTACCAGAATGCACGAGCCGTAAGTGTGCGCGTGCTCTCTTGGGAAACCACAAAGCCCTGGGCTGGTGAGTAATAAGGGTAGGTGTGTGAAGGACTCTAGAAAAGGTTGCCAGCCTCAGACACCAGCAGTGTCATTGGGGGCGCTTCCTGGTTCATTAGGGCCCAGGGCCTAGTCATCAGCTCTGTAAGTAGAAAACTGGACTTTCCCTGAGGTGACTAACAGGCCCTAGTCAGGGCTATTGACTGGAATGCTTCATGGAATATTCCTCTCATGATCTAGAATGGGCACACCCCTCACTCAGGATTATCTGGGTTTCTACCATCAGAGTACCCGGGAAGCCAGATGAATAACCTTGTGGCTTAGAGTGAGTAGAATCAGAGCAAATAACAGTAAACAGGAGTAATGAGCATTTATTGAGCACTTACATGTGTCAGGCACTGTGCCAACCTCTGTACATGGATTATCTCATTCGATCCTCATAATCTATAAAGAGGGTATTTTCCCCACTCTACTAAGGAAGAAATTGGGGCTCAGAGAGATTAAGTGACTTCCTGAGGTCACACAGCTGGTACCCCCGTGACGCCAGAAGAGCTACTCAGGCAGGCCGACTCTGAGGCAGTGGATGGTTTGAGGGTTTTGTCCTCCCCACATTTATTGCTTTGGGCAATGTGGAGGTTCACAGAACCAACCAGTCTGGCATCCCTATTTCCAGGTCTGGATGATTGTACTGCCTTCCATCAAAGCCACCTTCCTTCTATAGGCTCCCTCAGGGCCCTGAGCAATGAAATAGGGTAATGGTGTGTACCAAGTACCTACCTTGGCCTGGAACTGGCCTGGGACCTAGCATTGCAAAGATGAGCAAGGGGTGCTCAGCCTCCAGCTGGAGGAAAGCCTTGTAGATTAGAAAATGTCACATGGTAAGTATGTGACAATGTCACATGAGGCTAGGGGCTCATACAGCAGACTGGGGGTACAGGAGATGAGCATCTAGACTGACATCACCACAGGCCCAGACGTACACGTGCTGCTCACAGCTCCTCTCCTCCCCTGTGCCCAGCCAGCTCTCCAGATACCCGTGACTTCGCCCCTTTCATTCATCGCCTGTATCTAGTCAGTCATCAAGTTCTGTTGACTGAACAGCTATCGAGTTTGCCCTCTCTTCTCCCCACTGCCATCTGTCTCTCTTACCTAGAGGACCCTTTCATTTCCAAGCCAGTCTCCCCACACATGCTCTCACTCTGGCCCGGTCCATCTATATCCCTGCCGCCAGAGTCCCCCTTCAAAAAACAAATCTGATCAAGTTGCTCCCCAGCTTAACACCATTTAATGACTTTTTTCTACCTAAAAGAATGAGGTTTAAGATGCTTAAGACTATCCAGTTCTGGCCTCTGCCCGTCTCTCCAGCCTCTTATATTGTTTCCTCTGTTGCGACACCACTGGTCTCTGCCTGGAAGCTCCTTGCCTCTCTCTCCACCCCAACACTCAGCTAAATCAGAAGTCAAGAACTGACAGCACATGAGCCAGCTTGGCCTACTTTTTGTTTGTTTGTTTTAACTGAGGGATAATTAACACACAAAACAGACAGATCTTAAGTGTTCATTTGGCAAGTGGGTTTAAAAATTATTTATTTCCTTGTCAACATTTAAAAAGTGAGAGCCTTCCCGTAAAAATCCAGATTTCTGGTTCATTTTGAAAAGCCAGAATTTGGTGATGTCGGCCCTCATTCTTGCATAAGCTGAGCTGGAACCACCCCTCTGGTTGCTCCCAGTAACCAGCCAGGCCCTCTTCCGCCTTACCTGCCAGCTCCATGTGACCGTTCCTCTCCAGGTCTCAGCTGAGGTGATCCTTCCTCAGGGAAGATTTCTGGATCCCTTCAGACTAGATGAGGTCACACCAACTCATAGTCCCATGAACTTTCTTCATTGTAATCCACCCATTATTTGATTAACATCTGTGTTTCCCACCAGACTGTAGGCTCCTTGGGGCTAGGGGCCAAGTCTGTCTTTCTCCTGCCATATTCCCCAGTGCCTGGCGTAGAGAAAGACTTCAGTAAACAGTTAAATGCATGAACCAGGGTGTGGGGAGTCAGAGAAGTATTGGAGCAGGAGGGTAATTAAATGTTTGTCCACATTTAGTGTGTCTGAAGAGAGGCTGGAATGGTGAGGAGTAGTGGTCGGTGATACCAGAGAGGTTTGGGAGGAGCCAGAGCACAAGAGGCCTTGGCACTGAGCTAAAGAGTAAACTCTAGCTTGAAAGCCACTGAGAGCCAGTGTAGGAGTTCAAGCAGGCAAGGCTTTTGGTTTAAGCTCTTCAACGCTCACTTTGGGACCAAGTGAAGGGCAGACTCAAGGGGACCCAAACAGGAAGAGCAGAATCAGGAGACTATGGAATAACCCAGGCAAGAAGTGAAGGCCTGGCCCATAGCCAGTGCCATAGAGAGGTTTGGATGGGCCACAGGATTATTTCCTTCAGCTATAGGATAGCACATATGGTACAGCAGAGCCTGGCTTATGCAGACATGTAGGGAAATTTGGCTGCTGGGAGGAGAAGGAAGGGAGAAAAGGAAATTGGACAGCTGATGGATGGAGGATGAATGATAGAGGGATGATATCTTCCTGGCTAGTAAGGCGATGGCTGGATGGAGGGTGGATGGCTCGCTGGGTGGAATCTTTGGGTAAATTTTACACATTCAAACTTTGCAGCAAGTTGTCAGCATACTCGTCTCTAGCATTTGGTCCAATCCTGAGCAGATACTTGTAGGTCCTAGAAGAGCTGTGTTTCAGCTCCAGGAATTAGACATGCTGTCCCTGGTCAGGTCCTGAATGTGTCAGGCCATCCCAGATGCTCAGCCCCAGGGCTCCAAGCACTTGGACTCCAGTTCAGGGAGGCAGTGGGTATATGAGGCCCTGTCTGCAAGTGATTCTCCATTTGGTCTGGCTACTGAGAGAGAATGGCTACTTCCCTCTCAGAGCTGACTTCCTGTGAAAGCAAGACAAACAAGCTTAGAGCTTATATTTTGTGTTCCTTGACCTAGCAGGTGGTCTCTTTAAGTCTCACTTCACTATTTAAAATATGAAACCAGATTGGATTTGGAGACCATCTAGGGCCATCCAGGACCTGTGCCAGGCCTGGGGCAGTGAGGCCAGGGCCCTGTGGTTGGGCCCCTTAGCAGCAGCAGACAGTTACTGGCTTGTGAGCTCCATTACCAGGTGGCCCCTCTCTTCCATCTGGGGTATGGGTATTGCTGAAGAGGTCTGACAAGGAAGCTCTCGGGTCCTGGAAGTAGGAGGTGGCACAGATGAAGCGTCTGTGTGAGGGAATCACCTGGAGGTGGAGAGCAGTTCTTTTGCCACAGGAAGCAGGGGTGGGGCTTCCAGCCAGCAGAGTGTGGAGTGAGTCTTTAACCTGCTGGGCCAGTGCATGGGCGCCATCTTTGCTGGCCACCTCGTGGTGCACCTGACTGCTGTCTCCATCGATCCAGCAGATGCCAATGTGCGGGACAAGAGCTATGCAGGGCCCCTGCCCATCTTCAACCGCAGCCAACATGCACATGTCATTGAAGACCTGCACTGCAACTTGTGCGACGTGGATGTGTGAGTGTGCGTGGACTGAGAGTATGTGTGGGTGATGAGTATGCCTGGGCAACTGCCAGAGGGAGCTCAAGGCAGAGAGGGGCATGCTCATGGCTTTACAGTCATCCTGATAATGGGTGTATTTTACACAGTCAAGAATCTTGATGGAGTGACAGAGAATTGGGTGAAGGAGAAGGTGATTGGAAACAGAAGACGAGGATAGAATTTCCAACAGTTAAAATAGGAAACATTTGGCACTGCCACAAACATTTCTAATGACTAACTCTGCCAGTCACCTCTCCTCCCCAATCTCACAAGCCTTCCCGGATAGGGTCAGGGAGGGGAGTTAATTCTTGAGTACTTACTGTGTGCCAAGTGCTTATGAACAACCACCCTGCAAGGAGGGCAGCATCTTTCTCACTTCACAGAGGAGGAAGAACCCAAAGCTCAGAAAGGCTGAGAGGCCTGTCTGAGGTCATATGGCTCTTGGGCAGTAGAGTTAGATTCACCACCAGCGTGCCTGGTCCCTGAGGTGATACTGTTACCCCATTTACCCATGAGGACTCAGACACAGAGAGGCCAAGTGACTTGCTCCAGGTCACACTGCTAGTGGGGAGAAGAGCCAGAATGTGTGATGCCCCTTGGCTGGTCCTGACAGCCCCCCGAGGCCCCTCCCCATCCTCCTGGACATTCCCAGTCTCCCAGCCTCAGGTAGGGAGGGAGTTGTGGTCCAGGCCAGCCCCACACTTTTAATCTGAAGTCCCAGGCAGCCTATTGAAGGGATCTGTCCACAGGACAGAAAGAGAGCCCACGGCATTAAGGTACTGAGAACTTTAGCATCAGACTGTCCTTTCCTTCACTAGGGACCAGTCAGGGCATTGTTCCTCCGTGGGTGCTCTGGCAGCTGCTGTCCATTCCAGGGGTCCTCCCTGTTCTCAGGAAGGGGCTGCAGCCCACTGTTCCTCATTCCTTTGGGCTTCTCTGGTCCCACCCTGGGGCTGGGAGACTGGCTTGCATTTCTAATGGCCTCACCTCATCTGTGATGAACTGCCTTGACGTTCACCCAGAGGTCAGCTTGCTTCTCTTCCTTTGGTTCCCTTTGGATGAGCCCAGACAGACTGAGGTTTTCTGGGAAAATGCCAGTAAAATTACCGTAGACTGACAGGGAAACAGGCACTCAAAAAATAGAGATGCCAGGAAGAGCAATGCAGGCCCGACGGCCTTGCTCTCTCCTGCTCCCTGGCCCACACCTGCGTCGTCTCCTGGCTCGGCGCAGGAGTCCTTGCTTGGAAAGGAAGACCCATTTCCGTTTCACACCACCGTCACCTGGTGCGCAGTCCCAGAGTGGGACAGTGTAATGTCCCCTACTTCTCCCGCCTCCGGGTCCCCAGCTCTTCAGAAGCACTGCTTCCTCCGGGTGCCCTGCCCCGCAGTGCCGCCAGAGGGCGCGCACGCTCCCGGTCGTCAAGCGCGGTCCCGTGGACGCACCCGGTGGGTAACCCGCTCCAGGTCCGGCGCTATGGTCCCTCCGCGGACTCCCGCCGCTGCAGCCAGGCCGGGCGACCAAGGGGAGGACGAGCCGGCCAATTGCGCTGTGCTCCCTCCCATCCCGCAGGAGCGCTCGCTCCAAGCACTGTAGTGCCTGTAACAAGTGCGTGTGCGGCTTCGACCACCACTGCAAGTGGCTCAACAACTGCGTGGGCGAGAGGAACTACCGGTGAGAGTGGGCCTGGACCACAAGGGTGCTGGGGATGCACGGGTCTGAATGTGAGACCCGGGACCTTAAAGCTGCGCAGGGGGCGGGGTGGGGATGGGGGGCTTGGAGCATCTGGGCACTGGTGTGCGTCTGCGGTGTACTGCTCTGAGGGTGATGTTCTTGATGGCTGCCTCCTGCTGGACCAGGGAAAGGTGGGGAACCTGATGGGGTGGCTTCCAGTCTTCACCGTTGTCCTAAGCCTTTGGCTTTGTGAAGAGTTGGAGCTGTGGCGTCAGAGGCCTGGCTCTCCAACCCGACCATGGGTCTTTTTGAGCTCTGGGCCCTTACCCAGCTGGAGCACCTGGGTGCTGACAGCTGCCCATGGCTGGGCCCAGGCTCTTTCTACACAGTGTGGCATCTGCTTTACTGGGTGTCCTGCTCCTCGTGCTGGTGGCCACTTATGTCTTCGTGGAGTTCTTTGTCAACCCCATGCGGCTGCGCACCAACCACCACTTTGAAGGTCTGTCTGGGCCCTAGGCCTCCTCCCACCCCTTAACCCTGGGTCTATTCTGGTCACTGGTCACAGCCCCAGCTGAGCACAGTCTCCCTGTCTTGCAGTCCTGAAGAATCACACAGATGTATGGTTTGTGTTCCTGCCTGCTGCCCCTGTGGAGACACAGGCTCCTGCTATCTTGGCCCTGGCTGCCCTACTCATCCTTCTGGGCCTGCTCTCCACAGCCCTGCTCGGCCACCTACTCTGCTTCCACATTTATCTCAGTAAGTGCCCCCATCTACACCTGTCTTGCAGGGGGTAGGGGTCATTAGGCTGTAGAGAGGTACCCAGTTGGGCTGTAGAGCCCTGAAGCCATACCCCTTCCCACTGCTGGCTCTCTATGGTGGCCTGGTCTCACTCCATGGCTTAGTGTATATGGGGACAGTGGTTTCAGCCTGAAACTGGGTGCCCTCCCTCACCTTCTGAATTCCAGGGCCCCCTTTCCACTGCACTGAACCTTCTCTCACCCCCTCAGTGTGGCACAAGCTCACTACCTATGAGTACATCGTGCAGCATCGTCCGCCACAGGAGGCAAAGGGGGCCCACAGGCAGCTTGAATCGTGTCCCCCCAAGATGCGGCCCATTCAGGTACAGAAGTGACCCAAAGGGCTGAGGGGCTGGGAGATGGGGCCTGGGCGTGGGCGAGGTGGTAGGCTGTGCAGCAAGCTACCAATGATGAGACAAGGCAAGGGAAGGCAGGCCTGGAACAGTAACTGGGCTAGAGGGTGCTGGGGGCAGCAGAGGTGAGCCCACGCCTATACTGAGCACATGCCAGCCTGCTTAAGCATGGGCACAGCATGAAGGAGCCCTGCATTTCCTGGACCCTATGTCCAGTCTCGTTCAGGCTCCAAGCATGTGCTGGAGGGTGTGAAAATGGGAGCGTAGAAGTGGGCAGGTTGGAGCTGCAGGAGAAGAGAGAGGATGGACCAGAGAATGGGTCACCAATTTTCTCCACCTATGCCCCTGAGCCCTTATACCCATTACCCTGTTTAATCCTTAAAGCAGCGCATGAGGCAGGTAATGTTGCCACACCCATATCACAGATGAGCACACTGAGACCAAGAAAGGTTAAACAGAAGCTGGGTCTGGGAAGAGTTAAGGTCTCTGCTACACTCTGAAGCAGGAATCCTCCAGCCCAGGATAGGGCTTGGCCAGTCCATCTGCTGACCAGCCTATCCCCATTCCCACGCCCTGTGGCTTCCTGAAGTCAGCAGCTGGGGGTGGGGGTGGTCCAGTCCTCAGAGCCCCCAGGGACTAGGAAGGCAGGGGGCCCAGGCAGTCCCTTGCTGGGAAGGCTGAGCCCTGGATCCCAAGTCCTCATGGCAACTGGACACAAACACAGGCTGGTGGGCGGGTTGGGGAGGGCTTGGGACCCTGCCTCTCCTGTTCTCTCTGCCAGGGGTGGGCCAGGCTGCCAGGCCTAGGGGAGTGCTGGCTGTTGGTGGAGACTCCTCTGCCACACCACTGTGTACCTGCCCCAGTGCTGGGCACTGACCCCATGTAAGCACAATGGCAGCCATCCTGGGGAGTGGGCTTCATCCGCACCCCCACATCACAGAGGATTCTGAGGTTCAGAGAGGTAGGCAGGAGACTTTCTCAAGCTGCATAGTTGGTTCCCATTGAGGCAGGGCTGACCCTGGGATGTCTAGACTTGAGAGCTCTGGGCCCCTGCCCTGTAGTCATTACCTACCTAGGCTTTGGGGCCGGATGTGCCAACAGCAAGGACATTTCATATCATCTGCAAATGACCTGAAGGAGACCTACCTAGGAGGAGGGGCATGCAGAAGAGAGAGGCTAAGAGGTGCCACAGTACCATTCAGGAGTGTGCAGATATTGAAGGTCTCTGAGGGAGGATCCTAGGGACAGCTGTGAAACGGGTTTCAGTGGGGATACCCTGGTGACACCCCCAGACTTCCCCAGCTGGCTAGGGCCTGGCTCCTGACCCATCCTTACCCCTCAGTCTTCTGGAACTGGCCTCTACTACTGCCAGCTCCCTCTACTCCACCCTTCTGGAGCCCAGGAGTACCAGAGCCGTCTTTCCTGTCTCTGCTGAGCCCTGGAGGGGTGCTGGGTCCACACTGGGGAAGGGGAAAGTTGTGGGGGGAGGATTACCTTGAGGTCCCAGTCTTTATGACTGGTCTCTGACCCCATCCTCCTTCCCAGAGCTCCTCCGCTCAGGCTTGGCACCCCCAAATTTCTCCCTACAGGGCCAGCCTGGGCAGAGGTTGGGCACAGGGCTTGCTGGGCTTCAATCTTTGCACTTGTGTAGTCAGCCTGTGACCAGCTGGGCTCTGTCCCCTAGATTTGCCAGGGCCCCAGGCAGCCACCCTACCCCCACCCTGAGCAGGAATGCGGGAGGGGCCCCACTCTGGAGCCGTTGCCCCCAAACATAGGCTTGTTTTAGAGACGGCGTTTGCTGTTACATTGTCGTCTCTGCATTAGTCAGGACGCCTGGGTCTCCATGGAAACGGCTGCCGAGCGGGCGACAGCTGTCCTGGTGCCCTCCCCCTCCCCCGCCCGCTCAGTGGGGGTGGGGCCTCATCACCCTGGCTCCACCCCATATCCTTGGCACAAAGACCTTCTGGGGCTGGCTTTTCCCTGGCTTTTGTTTCCTCACCTGTGGTCCTCCTGGGTGTAGCTGGAGGGCGTCCTGGGTGCTGTGGTGCAGGTCTAGGCCACTCCTGCGACATCCCGGCCTTAGGCCCTGTAGCTTTCAGGGGTTGGACCTGCAACTCCCAGGGTCGCTATTAGGATCAGCGACTAAACAAGACACAGAACTCATCCATAAGCCTGGTCCCGAATGGGGCTGCGGTACTGTTTTTTCACCACCCATTGCCTTCCCATTTAGGGTAGGGGTGGGGGAGACTGAGCATTACCCCCTCCCGCAGATAATATTGCGGCTGGTACTCTGAGGATTCAGCTCCGTGGGAACCCTCAAGTTATGCACACATCCTCGTTTGCACACCAGCCTGTGAACGGCTGCTGCATGTCCCAGCTAGGGGGGAAAAAAAATCGGTTCAGAGACTGGAGACTTGGGAGGGGCCAGGAGCAGGAGAAGGCAGCTCTAAGGGCCTCTTCCCCACCACTCCGTTAGGCCAGAGCAGCTCTAGACTAGGTACATTGGACCCATGAGGCTGGGGCTTCCTGGAGGAGATGGAGTTTGATTAGATGAAGTGAGGAGATCCCTGGGGATAGGGTAAGGTCCAGAAATGGGTATTTTAAGCCTCAGCCTGCAGAGGGATTTTCCCATCAGAGCTGGGAAGCCTGGAGAACGCCCTAGACCTCAGCATGCAGACCTCCCACAGAGGCCATTGAGAGGGTGGGTGTTGTGTCCAGGACTGGGTGGGCTGTGGACTCAGAAGGCCGTGGATCCATACCTGGCCACCCAGCCTCTCTGAACCCTACCTTCCCCAGGAGATGGAGTTCTACATGCGGACCTTCAGCCATGTGCGCCCAGAGCCCCCTGGCCAGGCCAGGCCTGCTGCAGTGAATGCCAAGTGAGTGTGATCTGGGCATAGTTAGCTGGGCATCCCCCATTGGCATGGCATGGCCATCTGTGGTGGGAAAAAGGGGGTAGACCAAGACCAAGGCACATGTCTGGGTCCAGCCCTGCCTGGTCTTGGACAGATCAGTGCCCCTTTACTGTCTGCTAGGCAGGGAGGCTTATTTGAGGACCTCCAACTGGGTGGGATTTGAGGGATCATTGGCGTCCAGCGCTTACCCTCCCACTTCCCCCTCAGTCCCTCCGGGTTCCTTGCCACTGGCGGCCAAGTGGAGCCTCCAGCGCCCTCCTCCCCAGAGACTCTCGCTCTGCCCCCTGGGATCCGACCCCAGGTAGGGGGTAATGTGCTGGGCTCCCTCCCCTGGTGGAATGGGATGGGAAAGAACCCTCTATCTACCCTGCCCCACTCTTTTGCTTCTTCTGGCGATGTGAGGTTTGGGGAAGGGGCACTCAAGCTCCCGGCTGTCTCTGCAGAAAAAGAGGAAGCGGCGCGTGTATAAGGTGCCCACCTCTGGGACCTTGGACCTTGAGGCCCCGCTGCCCAGGCTGCCCGGTGAGCGCCCTTCCTGACTGGATTATACACTGGGAGTTCCGAGGGAAGGAAAGGTAGGGGCCCCGAGCGAGTCGTTCGGGACCCCTAGTCTCACGTTCCCCACCACCCTAGCAGGACCCCGGGCCCCAGGCTGCGGCTCCAGCTCGTCGGATTCCGCAGGCTCCAGTCCCGTTCACGCCGCTGGCCCTGCAGGCGCCTACCACTCGGCATCAGCCGAGTCCATGGACGAGATCCCTGTGGCTCAGACACGCCTGGGCAGCGCCGCTCTGGCCTCCCCCGGGGGCAGGGGCCCAGAGCTCGGGCTGGCGCTGCAGGCTCGTGTGCCCGCCGTTTTCGTGAGCCCGAGCAGCGGCGAGCCCGGGGCGCGAGGCGGCCTGGAGGCCGATCTGGCTTAGCTGGCCGAGGCAGAAGGACCTTGGAGGAGCGGCCGGCCCGACTCTCTATGCAACAAATACCCCCACCCTCGCGGACCGAATGCACTTTAGGAGCCCCTACGGCCGGCGGGATCGCCCCCCACCCCTTCGCCACAACTCAGCAATACCCACCCACCGGCCATGATGCTCCAATAAACTTTTTTTAAATGCTTCTGCGGACTTATTGCATACTTTCTTAATGGTAAGGGCCACGGGCTCTCCTGGAGTCGGACCATTGCCAGTCGGCCTAGGGGCAGAGGATGGGGTGGGCCCCCTTACAGTGGGTGGCCATCCATATTGTCTTGTGGAGGTAAACGAGGACCTGAGGCGCTCAGGTATAGGACTCCCGGTTAGGAAAGATCCTAGAAGGTTGCCGGGAGGAGGTTATTTTTCTTGAAGATGGAGTTGCGCTTGGTGACATGAGGGGAAGCAGGCTTTGGGCTCCGGAGGTGGTAGAGGGAGCAGAGACCCAGGAGGTCCAGGATCGCCATCGGTGTACCAGGATTCTGGGGCTGAGCACTCGTGATTCACTCATTGTCCCCTCCCGCCCCTAGTGACCCGGAGTTGTGACTTGGGGATGTCATGTTCATTGGAGAGCTGTGGTCTTGAGCCAGCTCTAGACCCCGCTGCCCACTATCGCTGAGGGAAGGGACCTTCCCACTCCTCTGCCCCTCCCTTCGCCCTCCCCGTTCCTCCCTCCCAAAGAGCCTTCGATTGCTGCTCGGAGAAGCTCATCGCTCCTGGAGGCGGGGGCTTTGGGTGGAGCCCAGGATGGGGGCTTTTATCCCGCTAGGGGGCCATCCGAGGACGTGCAGAACTACAGAGGGCTAGTCTCCCCCGCCGCCAAGGCCGAGATGCTGCCCCAGGAGCGACAGGAGGAGGCTGTCAAGGCAGCTCCGCCCCGAAAGAGCACGGAGCGCCGATAGGGCGGGGTCCGGTGGGTGGAGCCAGCGTGACCTTGGTCACTCTCTCGCTGAGACAGCCCCGGGGGTGGGACTCGCCGTCTCTATGGAGACAGAGAAACAGGGGATAATACGGTGGAGCCGCCGGGGCTGCAGTCCCGCCCCAGAGCCGGCAGGGAGCGGAGCTGCAGAGCCGCCTAGTCTCCCGCGTCCGTGGGTCCATTCTTGCGTCCTTCTGTCCATCGAACGCGCACTGCTGGAGCAGCCACAAGGTAGAAGTCGGTAGGAGACCCGGGCGCCGACCACACTAATCAGTATCCTGCACGATAAGGAAGGGGTGGGCATGGGAGCGGCCTGGAAGGGGTCCCAATCCTGGATGGTACCGGAGATGAGGACGCCAGCTGAGCGGCCCTGCCCTGGGCCCAAGCGTTCCACCCCCACCCCTATCCCCTTGTCCGGCTGATTGATGACTCCAGCTGTCCCAGCGGGAGCAAGCCGGTGGCCCCAGTTCACGGGCGTGGCCGCTCCATCCATGGCCTGCAGACCCCAGGGGGACTACAGCCTGTGACCTGGCTTCACCTGATAAGCCCCAAGATTACCAAGAATCCATCTTCCCACAGGCAAGAGTGAGCACTGGATTCAGGATCCTGCCAGTCTCCTGAGACAAGCATCTTCTGGCATGAAAGCTCCCCTAGACTTTACCCTTTGAGAATCAAGTGCTAGGGTTCTGGGTCCCTGGTGGGAGGTTGCAGTGTAGGGAGAGGGTAGTGCAACGTGGATTGGGATTGTGGGTCCACAGTTACTGCAATGTGGGATCTGTGAGTGCTCCCAGTCCCAGAAACTGCAACTTAGGAATGGGTGATTGTGGTCACTGGCCAGTTGTAGCGGGAGAGGGGGTAGCCAGGCAGAGGCCCAGGCCCAGGCCCAGTGGTCACTGGAGGCTCTAGTATATACAGGTAGAAGTTGGTTCCTAAAGACATGACAGAATGTGGTCAGGAGGCTGTAGTGGAGGATGTGGGTGTGCTTAGGGGGTTTTCAACACAGGGTGGTCTCAACATAGTACCTGGGAATCTTTAAATGTAAGTCTGTGGGTGTGGACACTGGGGGGATTCAATGCAGGGCTGAGAGTGTGGCCAGAAGATTGTGTGTGGACAAGGAGGGTATGAGGGTGTGGTCAGGGCTGCGGGTGTGTGGACCGAGAGGCCTCAGTACCCGGCTGTGTTATATAGAGGGGTTGCAGTGCAGTGCTGCAAGGGGACTGGCCAGGGGACTGCAGTGGGGGCATGGAGGGACCCTTCAGTGCAGGGCTGAGGGTATTATTGAGGGAGTCTTAGTACAGGGCTGTTAGTATGTGTTGGAGGTAGATGCTAAGGGAAGGACCCAGGTCATCAGTCTCAGCGCTGCCAGTGTGGTCAGGGGACTGCAGTGGGGACTGGGGGGGGTGGTTGGGGGAACGGGGAAGGGGCTGAGAGCCCAAGGTCTCCAGGAAGACAGTGGCTGAAGTGAGGAGGCAGAGACTGAC